TGAATCAGTTTGAGAGGAATGAAGTCTGGTTCCTTGTTGATCATTCATCGAACACTAATGTTATTAGCACAAAATGGATTTATAAGAACAAGTTTGATGAGTCAAGGAATGTAATAAAAAATAAGACCAGACTTATTGCTTAAGGATACTCTTAACTTAAAGGTGTTGACTTTGATGAAACCTTCGCTCATGTTGCTTGTCTTGAATCAATCAGACTTCTTTATGCTATTATATGCCATTTAAAGTTCAAACTTTTTCAAATGGATGTCAAAACAACATTCCTTAGTGGATATCTTAACAAAGAGGTCTATGTGGAACAACCAAAGGGCTTTAAGGATCCTCACAAGCCAGATGGGGTGTACAAACTGAGGAAAGCTCTCTACAATCTTAAACAAGCCCCTCGTGCTTGGTATGACAGGTTATCTTCCCATCTTCATACCCATGGTTATACTCGTGGCTTTGTTGATAAAACTTTGTTTGTTAAGAAGGTTAAATCTCATGTTGTGATTGCTTAACTATATGTGGATGACATAGTTGTTGGGTCTACTTCTGATTCTCTTGTGAAACAATTTATCGATATGATGACAAGTGAATTTGAGATGAGCTTGGTTGGTGAATTAAACTACTTCCTTGAACTTCAAGTGATATAAAAAAAGGATGGCATCTTCATCTCTTAAACAAAGTATGCCAATAACTTGGTGAAGAAGTTTAGCCTCGAAGGTTCAAAAGCTGCTAGATCTCTCATGAGCACATGTGCCAAAAGTCACAAAGACTCAAGTGGCATGTATATTGATCTGACTCTGTATAGAATGATGATTGGAAGCTTACTCTACCTGACTGCTAGTCGACCAGACATTGATGCGAGAATTACTTGACACATAAATTAAACCCTCTTTTTGACAATTGTAGTATAGATGTAAGTAGGGTATCGTTCTAGGCCGGGGATTAGGAGGGATTGCTAATCTATTCTAAATTAATTTAAAAATATTAAACAAGACTCAAGGACACGAAACTAGGCTAAAAACTCTAATAACTCGAAACACACTTAGAATGACTCAAAATAATGAAAACAATCAAATTAGACACTAGGAACTGAAATGGACTGAAATTGAATTAAAAGACTAACAACAATGAAAACTAACTAAATAATATAATTTAATAATGGGGGGGTTTGGTTTTGACGAGAAGTAAATTAAACTTAAATAAATTACAGAATTGACAAAAGCATGAAATTAAGGTGAAAGGATAGGTGACGGACTAGCTAGAGGATTCTTCTCCACACATGACACATATGCAACCTAAATTGATTTTCAGTTGTTCTTTCAATAAATTGTGAATGACAATGTTCCAAGTTAATTAGGTCCGCTTAAATTAACTCTTAGATTTCCCTAGATTCATTGGATTGAATGGAATACGCATTACAACCAAATTATTCCTCATCAAAGTCCCCAACTATGGAATACGCATGATAGAGACATTCAACAAAGATCATTAAGTTCAACGGAAATCATAAACATTGACTAGGCATTCATAACTATGGAATACGCATGTTAATCCAGCCTAGAATTCACTTAACACGATTGTGGATAACAACCTTCACTACTTGTGAATATAAGTTCATAACGATTAGGTGAAATTCACTTATATTCTAGCATCAAATTCATGCATGTAAATTAAGTATGCATTCTTAATCGACATACAAAAATAAGTTATCAATCAAGCAGTTAAGCAAATTAAATCACAACTCAGAAATCACAACTGAAGATAATCAATTCATATTACAAATATATTCATGGCTTTGAATTAACCTCTAGCCAAAATAAATTTAGTTACACATTATTATCAAATTAAACCAAAAGTAAAACATGGGTTTGAGAAGATAAAACCAAGAAAAGAAGATCTGCCTAGCCCCTGACTTCCCTGCACCTGCTGTTGTGCTCTGCTGCGCTGCTCCCGCCTTCTCTCTCTCTGTTTTCGCACTCTAACCTCTCTCCCCTCATGTCTCTCACGCTGCCCAAGGCAGCCTGTATTCCCCTTCTCTCCTCGTGTTCTCTTGGCTGTCCCCTCGCAAGGCAGCTAAGCTGCTTCTGTTTTTCTCGCTGCCTAAGGCAGCTTTCTCCTCCTCACGCTAACTGCGCATTGGCTTCCTGCGCCCCCCCTGTTGCTGTCTATCCCTCCGTTTTATATATTTTTCTGCTCCTCCTTTTTTTTCTCTGCAGTCTGTCCGTCCCATGCTTTCCGTCCCATTTCTTTTATTTTCTCCTCTTCTGCGCAGTGCACTAGTTTATCTTTATTCTTTCTCCCCACTGTCTTCTCTTTTCTTTCCTTATACTTTTCTTTCTTTTATTCTTCCACTCAACCCGTGTCTGCCATGAAATTCTTTCTTTTCTTTTGTTTTTGCCATCATGCACTCCTTCTCTTTCTTTGCAGTTTATTTTCATTCTTTGATTTCCACTTCCTCTCTTTCTCATCATGCCGTGCTCTACTCTTTCTATTTATTATTTAAAACTCATTTGTGCTATTTTTATTTTCTTTGCATAACAGATCCTATAAACACAAAAATAACGTAAATAGCTCAAAAATATAAGAAACTAACCAAGAAAAGACGAGTGAATTTGAAGTAAAAATATATATAAATATGATCCGATCAGACATCACATTTTCTATTAGGGTATGTGCACTGTTTTAAAGCTATCCCAAGGAGTCTCACTTACAAGCAGTCAAGAGAATCATTAAGTATTTGAGTGGGATCACTGATTATGGACTTCAATACACTCATAACACCAACACAAACCTGGTTAGGTACAGTGATGCCGATTAGCCTAGGTGCATTGATGATTGAAAAAGTACCTCAGGGGGAGCTTTCTATGTTGGGAACAATTTGGTTGCTTGGTACAACAAAAAGTAAAATAGTGTCTCTTTATCTACTGCTGAGGCAGAATATGTGGCTAACGGGAGCTGTTGCACTCAACTGATGTAGATGAAACAAATGCTCAGTGACTACAGTATATCTCAATCCACCTTTCTTGTTTATTGTGATAACATGAGTGCAATTGATATCTCTAAGAACCTTGTTCAACATTCGATAACCAAATACATTGACATTAGGCATCACTTCATTAGAGATCTAGTGGAAGCTAAGATTCTTACACTAAACTTTGTGCCAACTGAAAACAACTAGCTGACACATTCACTAAAGCCCTAGATAATCGAAGGTACAAAGATCTTCGATGGTCTATTGGTCTTTTTGCAATGAACTGAATTGTTTGAATAGCTTCGCTTCCAGGTTGTGTCTGTCTTGTAAGCATGCTCATCAGATACCTACGTTTTGTCTCTCTATATGCTTATCTTACTTGTCATATATTCATGATATTTTTTGGATTATCCTTGGATAATTATTCACTGTGATATCAAAGGTTCTCCCTATTATCTTGATGGCCTCTTAAAAATCATTTTTCCAATCATCCAAATCTGGTGGTGTTCTTGATTTAATGTTGCTTTAGTCCTAATTGAGTGGTAATGACTTTACTTACTCTATAATCTGGACCATGTGCCAATTCTCTTCTTTTTGTCCTCTTCCCAAAATCAAAACAAAAAAAAAATTCAAATGGGAGATTGTTATATGAAAGGGGGGTGTCTTCAAAAGAAAGTATATATTATCAAATGGGAAAATTCCTTCATTTTGGCCTTCCACGCAATGTCATGTGTAGTGTCTCAAATGCTCAACCTAGGATAAGGTTCTAAAAGACGTTAGGCGCTAGTGGGGTGGCGGGCTGGGGCCTAGCGCCTAGGCAGACTAGGCGGATTTAATTAAATCTATTATATTTCGTGTAAATAAGTGTCTGTTTATACTTAAAATATGTATTATTTTATCATAAACTACAAAATGGAATGACATATATATTATGAGCTATTGGAATATAATGAAAACATGGAGAATAAGTATATAATGTGTGTTCCATTATGTATTCAACAAGTCTTTTACAATTTATTGAAAAAATAAAATGCAAAATAAAAGTTATTTATTTTTTGTCTAAATGAGTCACAACCTAGGCGGGTGTCTAAGCGGGTCTGGGTAGGTTAGGCGGGTGCCTAGGCAGTCTAGACAAGCGCCTTAATAGGTCTAGGCACCATTTCTTAATTTTCAAACGTCTAGGTATTAATTGGGGTGGTGGCCAACTACCTAGTGCCTAGGCAGGGTCTAGACGGCGCCTAGGCAGTGCTAGACGCGGATTTTTAGAACAATGACCGGTGGGAATCCACGCGCAAGTACTTCTATAAGTCATTACATCCCTTCATAGACTTATGTTCTCTTTGATAGCCGCAATGTGGCTTGGAGTTAATGTCTAAGTAGGCATGTCTCTGTGTCCTTGGGATTTTGTTCTATAAAGTTGTCAGTACCCCAACTTGCTCTCGGTGGTCAAAAAGTATTTTATGGGGAAGCACTCGACGTCATTGCTGACGTACAACCCGGAATGACGAGCGGTCATGTGTAGCACTCGGGATCGCTCTTCCCAATCTTGTTGAGCCTCGACCTTTCTTCCTTTGGCGTGCATTCCTTTGCGCCTTTGAGGGTCAGAAAAGAAGGATTTTCAATGCACTCAAAACACGAAGCAGTACACCACATGTAGTTATAAATGGAAGGACACTTGAAAAAGAAAAAAAATTTCATCACTGGTATAATAACATGTGACGTATCACCCTGTATTTCAAACCCATTTAAAAATGGGAACTTTAATGAAAAGCTTCCGCTATTATTCACTTTAACGAAAAACCATATTTTTACACTAAAAATTAATCTTGATACTATTCACTTTACTCTTTATTTCGTTCTTATTAATAAATCTCAAAAAATTCTAACCTTTTTTTTATTAGTTTTCTTTAAAAAAGTCTCTGGTTGGAAAGGATACTGTGATAGCAAAAGGACCCAACCTCTTAGTCTGACATGGCAAGGTTTCATTGGTCACCACCGTAGTGGACCAAACGTCGCAGGAGGAGTGAAGACAAAACCGATTATTAAATAGCAGGGCTGCGGGCAATGCCGTCATTGATGAAGTCGATGAAAGCATTGAAAAGGCACCATCTTTAAGTAATCATCTCTTATCTGCAAAGCCAAGAAGAACTCAGCAGATTGTCGATCACTCCTCTCCAATCTTTTCTGTAAGCTTTCTTCAGTTGTTTGATTTTGGGTTTGTTTGTTTCCCGAGAAAAATAAGAAAAAAACAGAAAAGATAATATTGGAGTGTTATTTTATTTTTTATTTTTTATCTTGGATTGTTATATTTGTTCAAGGCATCTGATCAGGGTATTAGGTGCATAATCAATTGTTTACATGATTGAATTTCTTTGATTCTCTGAAAGAAATTGTTGTTTTTTCTTCTGGGTTTTGGATATTTTCTTGAATTTTACCACTTTGATCATGGCTTCCACACAATTTCTTAATTTCAATCAATTTTTTGATTTTATTTAGTAAATTGTCTATAGATTGCCAATAAGGTTTGGTCCTTGTTATGCAGTGGATTGTAGAAAAATGACCAAAAGCAGCTTCAAGCAAGCACATGAGTTTGGTAAGTTTTGGTGTTCATGTGCTGAATTTGTTTATGCTTTTAGTATATTCTGTTCCATGTTATCTTTTTCAGCAATTAATTTTGCGATGTTTAAGTTTACGAAATCAGTTGTATAAACGTGTGGTATCTTTATATGCAGAGAAGAGACGTGCTGAGGCCGCAAGGATTAGAGAGAAATATTCAGACAGAATTCCTGTAGGACCTAGCTTTAATCTTTAAATTTAGGATTTTCTCCTTTTAATTCCTCTGTGTGTGCCGAATTTTGCTATTACCTTGCTATTTGTCAATGTCAGGTGTTTTTTATCTCTCTTTTCCGCATCTTAAAGATTTAGGAGTTATTTTGACATTTCATAGGTCCAATCATGTTTCATAATTTTGTATCACGCATAGTAGTTGCATAATCTGTTTCAGACTGCATTGAAGAGAGTCATGTTTTGATTAAAAAACTTCAAAGAGCATGTGTTATCATAATATGGGATGGCAACTGCAGGTTTCTTGGTGTGTACCTTGCTTCCGAATTAAATTATAGGAAAACTAATGAAAAGAGCTTGAAAACTTTGAGTTTTAATGATAAGGACAAAATAAAAGGTAAAGTGAATAGTACCAGGATTGACTTTTTAGTGTAAAAATGTGGTTTTTCATTAAAATGAACAGTACCGGGTGCTTTTCGTTAAAATTCCCTTAAATTATAGGTATTATAGTCTCAAGTTATACAAGATGTTCAGGTATTATAGTCTCAAGTTATACAAGATGTTCAGGTATTATAGTCTCAAGTTATACAAGATGTTCAAGTAAGTGATGGTAGAGTTTATTGTTTGATTAGTGCTCACAACACTTATTATTTAGTGCGTAGGAAATTCTTATGTAATACAAATCAGTGATTGATTTTTGAAAAAAAGGAAATTATGCACTGGAATTTATCCGTCATGTGTTACATGATCCAATTGGAAAATATCTTGGTACCAAAAAAAAAAGATCATTAAGTCATAAATTGGCAATACATTGTAGAAATAAAAGGAAAATGAATGATCTTAGGAAAAGTTTTCATTAAAATGTGTATTTTCACCGTGCTATGGGTATATAGTACTTCATTTCTTGGATAAGATGAGGAACAAAACTAGGGTGTCGAGGTGGCTTTATAATGTGTTGATGATATATCTGCCTGAGTGCCTTGTTGCTATGAGAGATGTTTTATATCAGTATATTGCAAATTATTGAGAGCGAATGCCTTTTCTTTAGTAAAGAGGTACGATGACCGTAAGTTACCTGTTTTCCTGTAAAAGAACCTAGCCTTGGTTTATATTAGTGGGCATGGAAACTCATTAATATTGTTTTGATTTCTCCATCAAGGTCAGTATAACAAAAATTCTTTTCCTAGGTATATGATGGGCTTATTGTTCTTCGTTTCATGGAATGTTGGAGAGTAGATGCTTAATAGTCATCCAATGGCAATTGTGACTGTGAGCAACAACCACGAATTCACTGTATCTATATTCTTTTTCATGCGTATGCTAGATGCATTGTATGTTTATTTGGTATATCAAAGGGAATGGCTGAATCATGATTATCATTGAAAACCATGGAACCATCATGGACTTAGATACTTAGATCAGTAACATAACCTCCAGCACACACACACACACATGATTATTCAGATGGTGCTTCTTGATCTCTTCTAAATAGTGGTTCAATTGCATCATAATACAATGCACTCGTGGTATCCGAATCGTTGCTTCTGTTAATTATTTCTTTTCTGATTTGAAGGTGATTGTGGAAAAGGCAGAGAGAAGTGATATTCCCAACATTGACAGGAAAAAGTAAGCACCAGTTTCACATTACTTCCTCTTATGTAATCACTTTTGTGAGTAAGCTGCAGCTCTATTGTCATCAGTATAAATTTATTACTTTGGAAACATATAAGGTTTTCCCCTTTTGAGTAAGCCACACACCCGCCCACTGGATGTTAAACCCAAAATCTCCATCCTCCCTTGTTCTTAAAGGAGGAAGAGTTATCACTAGGCCTGGCAGTCATGGACTGTATCTCCGTCCTTTCTGATTTTTTCTTTAGATTCAATGCGGGCTCAATTGTTGTATTGTATTATAATTTGTGAATGAACAGGATGCTGTTTGATCCGGTACTTACTGCTGATGTAGTTCTATATATTAACGACTTGATTTGCTACATAACAGATACCTGGTTCCAGCTGATTTGACTGTGGGTCAGTTTGTCTATGTCATCCGTAAGAGAATTAAACTGAGTGCAGAAAAGGCAATCTTCATATTCGTAGACAATGTCCTCCCAGCTACAGGTATCTAGTGAAACTTCTCTCTGTCTCCCCCCTTCTGATTTGATGGTTAATTTTAGGGTATGTGTTAAATATGATAACGTAGTTTTACCTTGGTAAATAGTTAATGCCATATTGAAGTCAAACTTTAACTGGAAAAATGTCCAACACAGATTCTTGGATATGATTGAACTTTTGCAATATCCATGGAGATTTTCGAAGAAAAAAATGTGCAGAAATGACACCGTGGTATTCATTTTCGTGTCAAACAATGAGCAGGCTGTACTTAATTCTTTCTAAGAATCAAAGCTTAGTTGGAATATATCATAAGATTCTCGGATATAAACTTTTTTTACAATATTTGGATTTGGAAGAGGAAATCTGATCGTGGTAAATAATCCAATTCCTGGTTGAAGTCAAAAGAAAATAGTTTAATTCATGACCAATCAAGGATTATGGTCACGGTAAAGTGTCGTATTCCTGGAAAGTCAACTGGAAAGATGTTCAGTAATATTCAGATTTGTAGAAGTTATGACATCGTGTCTACATTTCCTCGAAGATTATGAAGACCATATTTCATTTTTTGCAGGAGCAATAATGTCTACCATATATGATGAAAAGAAGGATGCAGATGGATTTCTGTATGTTACATACAGTGGCGAGAACACATTTGGATAGTGGATGATCAGATGTTCTCATATTTCTTTGTCGTTATATTCCTCGTTCATCGTTATATTACGCATCTCCGTTAACGCATTATCTTCTACAATACCAGCACTCTGCTTAATATATATAACTGCACTCTGTTTATCTGAGCAGGGATAGTTTGTATATAGCTTTTTAGCAACTTATAAGATGCCAATCTACTGAATAATTCCTAATCATATGCTTTTTATCTATCATGGTCTGTGGAGAATGGAACAATACAAGTAAAACATTGTCGAATGCAAATGTATAATCATGTCCTGTGCACATAATATGGCTAGTCATATGAACTTGTAACTCAAATAGTTAAGAGCATTCTCTTATATCGTATTAAATACTTTGGTGTTTTTGTCGATGGAATGATATTGATCGTTTCAGTTCTCAAGTTTCTAATATTTAAGGATCATCTTACATAAAGACAATATATACTTGCATAATATGTGTAAAATAATTAAACTGAAAATTCTCTGTATGATGGGCATATTTATTTAACATAGTATGGGCTATGAAGGAATGAAGGATTAGAAAAATGAGGATTGCAAGGAACGGGTATAGGATAAACAACCTTCCTTGTGTTAATGGGAGACCTTCATTTATTCTCATTTTCATACATGGTAAGTAAACTATAAAAAAGTGACTCCGGTCATGAGATTATTTCCATACAATTGCTCATGGTAAGTAAACTATATATGCCCATTCATGCATTCTTTCACTCTGGTGTCTCTTTACTTTTCTTTTTCTTTTTCCATACAAGCTAATTTCATTAAAAAAAGAAGACTACAACCCAAACATAAAGAAATACAAGATCAGGCTTAATACCAAACCCATAATAGCCATAAAGGAAAGAAATCCTAGATCTTAACACCATCGTTGTGAGTGCCACGTTGGAAAGAAGAACCAACGAACCACATTGATGAATGGAAAATGGGGGTGGTGAATCACCCGCTCTGTAAGCGCTCCCATAATCCTACCAATTAGGGCAAATTGCACTTTAAAAGCCACCCAAATGCAAAGCGTGTCTCTGAATAGGACCCACAAAGGAAACACCTAAAGAGCCGAGTAGCAAAGGCCAGTGGGCAACAATCATGGTAGGGAACAACAATTGGAGCAGAAGAAAACTTGAACTCGTGATGTGAGACGAGATCCGCCATAAACTAAGACAAAACTCAGAGAAATTGAGACATAGCTCAAGGCAAGGTGAGACTTCGCTCAGAAACAAAATTACTAGATCAAAGGGTCAAAACGAAAAGCAAGGAAATTTAAGAAGGAAGGAACTGCATAAAATTAAGGAAGGAAGGAAAAGAAGGATGGCGCTGCAGAAAAATTAAGGCCAAGGGGTTGCCACTGACCCCAACCAAGAGGAGGGGCCGGCAGCTAAGGTTAGGGTTTGTGAGAGGAAGTCCTTTGGTGAGGGGAAAAAGCAAGGAGAGAAAAACTTTTATGGTCTTTTCATCTTTTTGTTCACTATGGTGTCTTTTTTGGTCATTATACATAATTACAACAATGAGTAAATTGTAGCTATGGTCCCTTAACTTTAACTCAATTGGAGCAATGGTCCCTCAACTAAAAATCCATTACCTTTGGTCCCTCAACTTATCAAAACGTGCAGCTATGGTCCCTCAACTAAAAATCCATTACCATTGGTCCCTGAACTTTAATTCAAGTGGAGAAATGATCCTTTAACTTTAATCCAATTGTAGCAATGGTCCTTACAATATAACTCGTTTTGACAAATTTTTTGACATAGTTGACGAAAAGAACCATAATTATACACTTTGATGAGTTGAGGGACCCTAATTATATAAATGGTCATTCCAACATAGCTTATTTTGACAAAATTTTGACAAAATTGATGAAAAGGACTATAGCTACACATTTTGATAAGTTGAGGGACCAATGGTAATGGATTTTTAGTTGAGGGACCATTGCTCCAATTTGATTAAAGTTGAGGGACCATTTGTACAATTTACTCTTACAACAATCATACATAAAAGTTTACCAAACACTTTGATATTACTTTTTATACTCAAAAACACTTTTACAACACAATTTACCAAACTCTCTGATATTGGTTTTTATATTCAAAGCACTTTTACAACACAATTTAGCAAATACTCTACTGCTTTAGGGTTTGTTTGTAAATGCTTTTAAAATTATTGGAAGAGTTTTTGGTGAAAATGTATTTGGAGCCAACACTACTAGAAATTATTATTTTGCCGACAAATTATAAGCCGACAAAGCAAAATTTTGTCAGCACAAGAGTCATTTTTCGACGAAAATTTTAATTTATCAGCTGAATACTAACACTAGAACCAATTTACAAAGCCAATCTTAGCCGAGAAAATTGGAACATTAGCCGACGATCATTTTGTAGGCATAAGTTCGATGCCCTGACGATTTGTTTTTATGGGTAAACTTTGGCAGGAACTTTTCCCATTGTATTGAAATATTAACCGACGATGTGAGGCAACAAAGTATTTCATTAGCAAACTGATAAGAGAGGCAACAAAGTATGTCATCGACAAAGTGATAATAACTCTACGTGATAAGGACAAGCTTATCAAATTCCTAAGGCAATCCTAACTTATTTTGTCGGTTCATATCCCCCAATTGCTCATGATGTCCATCCCATTTCTTCATAATCCTATTTTTTAGGTTCACATCCCCCAATTGCTCATGATCTCCCTCCCATAATATTTCTATTCCTATTTTGTTGGTTCACATCCCCCAATTGCTCATGATCTCCCTCCCATATTCTTCACTCTCAGCATGCCATCTGATTTCACTTTCGTAAGAATTCCAAGTTATCTTGTAACAACTTGGAGGGGACTTTCTCGCTCAGAAACAATTTTGACAATCCTAAATCCCTAAGTTTATCTATTAGGGTTCTCACACTCTTAACTGACTCTCATCCATGTCTTTGCCTCTATCATCTCTCTCGCTTCTCTCGCTCTCACAATCATCTCCATAATTTTGAAGAAGTAGCAACCACAAGCAACCAGGCTTAATAGTGAGGATATAACCAAACTATTTAATATATTGCTTAATTATAGTTTGGTTCAAGACCTTTAGGCTACCATTACTTTTTGTTTTGATTTTTTCTTGGTCGGGGCATGTTATTGTTAGGCTCTTATAACTTAGGGTGCACTACAAATTGAAGTAAAGTTTTTTATTTGGATTTTTATGCGTCAATGCCTTTGATTTTTATTCTTACCAATGAATTCCAATGCACTGCAAATTGAAGTAAAGTTTAACTTAGGGTGCACTACAAATTGAAGTAAAGTTTTTTATTTGGATTTTTATGCGTCAATGCCTTTGATTTTTATTCTTACCAATGAATTCCAATGCATTGCATATATGTATTTACATTTAACTTAAACTTGGTTTTTTTTTTTTTTTAATTTTTTTATTTGTAGATGCCAATGATTAGCCAAAAAAGGAAACGACCTTTTGTGTCAACAAGAATCCTGCCTCTGCCATCCCAGTCATGGTCTACATCTGCTATTGGAGCTGCTCCTCCTACTTTTCCTCAAGAGAGGAATAGGCCTGATATTTTGAGGCAGACTTATCTTTCTCGCACACAATCTTATTCTATGGGTAGTGCGAGACCTGGGGAACCTGGACAATGGGAGTTTTTATGCGAACATTTTCAGTCGAAGAAGTTTCTGGTATTGTTTTAGTTGATTCATGCATGCATTTAGACTTAATTTTTTGTTAAGTATATGGCACTAGCTAAGAAGTACAAGCATCATGCTGGTTCACGCCCACTTGCCCACATAGTGGAGGAGTGTACACAGGTTAAGCAATGAATGTTTTAATGCTATGTTTGTAGCAAATTAGAATTTGGCGTATACGTTTTGGGTTTGAGGGATAAGACTAAATATAACATTTTGTTATTTAAGAATCTAGTTGCTAGTATAAACAGTGATGTATTAGGATGCTTTAGTATAGTTTATTTATGTTTTCAAGTGCATATGCTTATGTTCTAGAGTTATAATCTACTTAGCTAGGTGATTGGTATTGTTATGTTTATATAAATTATAGACCTTTCAAGGATTTATATCATCTACTTATGATTTAATTGCTAAGACTACTACTCCTAGTCTCGAAAGTCTCTCCTTGTTTCCTTTTTTTTCTCTTGAATAAATGCTCAAATTCTTGCTTGAATATGACTTCTCTAACTCTCTTGTTATTTGAATTGGAATGTTGATGATGGGGCACCACAAAACCATAAAAATATTAATTCTGAACCTTTTAGGATAGTCTTAAACTTTTATAGAAGCTCTCCTTTTGCTTTGCACATTTTCTTTAATTAAAACTTGTAAATCCGAAATCACCTCACAAATACCGCGTAAGCTTAGCTGACAGACATCCCGTACGAAAATCACCATAACGTCTTCTAAAAAACTCGGAATCACGAACCGTAAAATTCATTTGAAAAATAACTTCCATATATTTCCAATGGTATAAGGTTCAACACCTGGTTCCTTCTGAGGAAGTATAATTTAACTCATAAAGTTGGCTGATATGCACAAACAGTTCCTACTTCCAAGATACTAAACTCATTTCAATCGAAAACGTGCTTTGTTTTCGTTTTTCTTCATCTTCACTATTCAAACCTATGAAACACATAAACTAAGTGAAACAAAAAAAATATTGAATTGCATTTACAAGATAACTTAGTAACTTAATGACATTAAAAAAAGTAGTAAAGTAGAAAATAATAAAGAAAAAATTCAATATGTCCTATCTCTACTCTCTTATATGACATGTAATATAGACCAGATGATCATGTTGCCTTGTTTATAGAGTGTGAGAATCATGTTGCCTTGCTGTTTATAACGTTTATCTTGTTGTTTACAATGATGAATGACATATAAGTAGTTGATGCTAACTTGATTATTACCTGGTATCTATTAAACATGTAATTTTGCTAGGTTGTGAGCATGCATGGCGTTGGTAAGTTAACTTGATTAGTAGATATCTTTATCTTGTTGTTTACACATTTATGGTTTCATAAGTTATTTGTTTAGAAATACCATTCTAGTGTGGCCTTGCATTTCCTTAATGCCAATGATATTTAGCACCCTTAACGTTTGCTAATCAAGTTTTTTAATTTGTCTTTCTTTTACAGTTGTTTGATACTTGAATGTTTCATGATGATCCTCACCGTTTCCCGATTTCTTGATGTTGCATATCAATGTGATGAGGACTATAGTGAGAATGGTGATACTGAAAGATATTTTATCTATATTATAGTAATGTCGAAATGAAAACATAGATATTTTTGTATTTTAAAACTGAACTGAATTGTGAACCTTACATTAGTTTATATTACATGAAGTTTTGTGTGTT